CCCCAAAACCCCAAAACCCCAAAACCCCGTCGAATCAAATTTCTAAATATTATCAAGCTTACAAATAATAATAGAGTATATTTTGCATTAATATATCTATTATGTTCCCTTTTTTATGGATATAATCAATAATATGTGACCAAATGTAATCATCAATCACCTACACAAGCGTTTCTGAGTTATAATCAGGCTTAAGGTTGATAATCATGTATTTATTGAAGAGGTCAACTTTGATTGATTTAAAGCTGTCTATTATTCTTTGATCGATCCAATTATACATATACTCTTCCATTTCAAATTACTCTCTTGCATTAATCATCTTAAGTAAAGGCTTTTTCAAAGTGGTATTCCAGTAGCTCAAGATTTTATCAGAAGAGAATTCAAATTGATGTACTAAAGGCTCAATCAATGTCAAATTGACTGGCTACAGATTGTAGATTTGGTAGATTACTGTTTTATCTCTTAGACAAACATGAAAATTGGCATTATGAAGAGGAACATTGAATCTGATTACTACTGGATCATCTTTTTCTGTTTTGTTATTAAATATCGTAAAGTTGAACTCACTAGTTATAAGACCTATATATTTACAATTATACTCTTATAATAAGTCTTACTGTCATTCATTTTATCTGATTAGTAATAAAGTCTGCCAATATTGATGTTGAAAAAATTAAGCTAAGTTATTTTATAAGACCAATTACATTTTATGTCTTTTCCATACTCTTGAGCAATACCTGGAAATATGAAATCCATTATATCAGTAGTGCAAGGCATCTAGATTATATCCCCTTCCCCATCTATTAAATATATATAGTTTGAACCTAGCGTTGGATTGTTATTGCTTAAGAACTCTGAATTATTCCAAACTGCAGAGGATAAATACCTGATCAAATTCTCTGACAGAATAATTTACATATCATCTCCAGAGGGATCTACTGCAGGCATTAAAATCTTTTCCTAAATATTCTTCTTAAATATCTCTTATTCCTTTTAAATATAAATCCTTTGGAACCCAGATATATAGTTAGAGCTTATATAAGGATTAAAGTTGAATCTTGACTCTTCAAGGGTTTGAAATTTAGTCCATACATGATATCCGCTGTCTGAAATGTTAAGCTGAGTAAACATCTGAGCAGCCTTGATGTAAATGTCTCTAAGGTAGTCACGATTTTCATTGATGAGTTAATAGGCATTTTATATTATGTAATCCTTAGTTTTATTAATAGTACTACTTATCTAATTGATAAAGTTATCTTCTTCGTCTGTGTAAAAAACAATGTCTAGATTTTATGAGAGGATAGTTATCGTAATTAGAGGGAGATCTACTTAGATATCTCCTTCATCTGATACACTGAAATTTTAGGCAACACTTATTGATCCATCTTTAAGTCTCACAGTGGTATTGTACAGTCTTTAGTTCATTCTTAAGCATTCTTGTTCACCTTCCTGATAGCTACAGTCATCTCCATCTAAATCATATGAGTATAAACCACTGAAGTCAAACTTAGTCACATAGTCAGCCTGGATTTATATGTTACTCACATAGTACTTTAGTTGCTGCACTGACTCTAGTAAAAGAATGCCACTTTAAGAACCAGATGTATTATACTGCAGAGTTTTAACTGTGAAATTCTCTATTTTCATGTTGACAAATACAGAATCTTCTGGTGGTAGGTCATCCAATTTAAACAGATAAATTGGAATCCAATCAGTAGAATTGCCCTTGAATCTACCTTTAATCTCTGACAGCACTTTCGGAAACAGGTCTGTCAAAACATTTTGGAAAAACTAAATAATTATTGCAATGGTTAGTTATAAAGTTAAGTTACTGTTCCTTTTAATGCCCCTACTGACTCAGCTGTAACGTAAGGTATACCTTGAGAAACTTATTTGCCTTTTCTCTTCGAAAATACTAATAAGAGGAAGATGTAGCTGATTGCCAATAGAAATTGGATTTTAAGCGATTTCATGTTTATAAAAAATAATTATAAAATGCAAAAATTTAATCTCATATTTATCCAATTTTAATACAATATTGAAGCAAGGGGTTTTGGGGTTTTGGGGTTTTGGGG